TCTTTGGGACCTCCTGGGCGCCTTTGGGACGGAGGGCTCCATTTTTGAGTTCTCGGTATCCCTCCTGAGTCCCTCTTGGGCCCGTCTTGGGGCCTCTTGGTCCGTCTTGGGCGGCACTTGGGCCGTCTTGAGGGCTCTCTTGGGTCGTTTCGGCGCCGTCTTGGGAGCTTCGTGGGCCGTCTTGGAGCGGTCTTGGGGGCCTCTTGGGCCGTCTTGGAGCGTCCGGAAGCCGAAAAAGCCAGAACACAAAAAACATCGAAAAAACCAATGAAAATCAAAGATTTTGGCCTCTTGGGGCTCTCTTCGGAGGCCTCTTGGAAGGCTCTTGGGGCGTCTTGGAGGCCTCTTGGGCTGTCTTGGGGGCCTTTGGGCCGTCTTGGGGTCATCTTCGGCGTCTTCGAGCGCTCTTTGGGCGTCTCGGGGGCCTCTTGGGCAGTCTTGGGGGCCTCTTGGGGCACTCTGAGCGCGCTCTGGGGAGCCTGAGAGGCCGCACCCAGAAGGAAAACCATCTCTGAGTAGACTTGGTCGGGCGTTGGTCGGGGTACTTTTCGCCGGGGGACCCCCAGGGGCCGCCCCGCGCGCGCGAACTAGAAGTACTGTTAATACTGTTAACCAGTTACCGGAGATCTTAGCACGCCCTGGCCCGTTGGGCCGGCGAATTTTTGTTTGAGTCATTTTTATGTTAGATCAAAATCAATGCCCGGCCTAATTTGAGGTTTAAACATGTATTTCAGCATTTCCGCTGTTTGGGTTTACTCAACGTTCAAGACGGCCCAGGAGGCCCCCAAGATCGCCCCAAGACGGCCCAAGATGTCCCCAAGAGAGCCCCAAAACGGATCAAGAGAGCCACAGGGTGGTCCAAACGGCGCCCGAAGCGATTTTCGATGGCCCAAAGAGGGAACTCCAACTCACATTTCGAGCTCTCCGCCCCGAATGGACCCCCCCCAGACCGCCAGTAGGCCCCCAAGAGACCCCCAAGAGGCCCCACAGAGACCCAAAAAGAGGCCACAAGAAGCCCCCAAACAGCCCCCCAACCCTTAGAGGCTTCAACACTGGCTCCAAGAGGCGCCCGAGAAGTATGCCAAGAGACCCAAACGTGTACGAATCCAACAATCCCCTTACACACAGCCCAGGCAGGATGGCTGTATGAGCCCAAAGCCAGTAGATAGCAAACCATGAGCCGGGCGAAGGGCGCTGACGCCGCGTGCCGAAATTAGCTTGGGGACGCCATGCGAAGTTGCCCAGTGGTGCCATCGGTGGATCTCTTTCCGCTGCACGATTCGCCTGAGGGGCGTCCCGATTGGGCGGGAGCATGATGTGCGAACCTTGTCTCTGGAGATGTGGGTGGCGTCCTTGTGGAGCGCAATCCGTGTGAGGGGTGTGGCGCAATGGGCGGATTGGGCGACCTTCGTGTCTACTGGGAGCCTACAGGTTTGCGAAGACAGGTTAAAGCGGCTTGCCGGTGGCCCACCACCTGACACATATTTTACTCCATGCATGCTTGCATGGACGCCTGGATGGTTTTGTGGTGTATGGCTACTTGTGAGGAGAAATGAATCGGTGGATGCCTGGATGCATAATGCCACAGGTGTTTCACATGTGTGGTTCTCGGCTGCTAGGATGAAGGTATCTTGATGAAGGTATACATCAATTCCAGATGATGGGATGTATGGATGACTGTATGGTTGGATTGGTGTAGGAACGGCCTCACGTTACGCCTTGAGATGAACGCCAACACAACTCGCGGCATGTACTTACTTTGTTGAGCAAGCCTTTCGCTAGAGCTGAGGCCATGCGTGGGTACGCGCATGCATGCACCCGTGAACATGTTAGTGCGTGCAGCCGTGACCTTGTCAAGGGCTGGCGTTTGCTAGAGCCTGAGCGCGTGCGAATCGCGCGCGTGGTCCTAGTGTTTTCATACATCGGCTCCATGCTCTGAGAGCCTTGCCTTGCCATTCTAACACGTCTGCGTTTCAAGAGCACTCCGTGGTAGGCCTTTGGGTAGGCCTATGGAAATGCCCAGACGGTCGGTCCTTGCTCAAAGCGATTTGTTTTTTCCCTCCCTGGCTTGCCGCCGAACTCCCTCCCTCGATCGGGGGCCCCCAAACGGGGTGGTGACCACACCGTGTGGTGAGTCGATGGGGATTCGGGGTCACCGCACGGTTTTGGGACTCGAGTCCCTCTCCGAGGATGTCTCGGGCGACAGGGGCCTCCAGGGTCCCAAGACCGTGCGGTGACGGACCGTGCGGTGAGGTCTCTTGGGGTTCCGAGGTCACCGCGCGGTCTGTCACCACACGGTTTTGGGAACCCCAAATCGCGCTGCCCCCAACCTCCCCGCCTCTCTAGCTTCCCGGAGGGAGCGCGATGCTGCAGCAGGGCGGCAGCTCCAGCAGCTTCGGCAGCCTCGGCCAGCTCGGGCAGCGCTGGGCGCAGGCGTGGGAGGACGCGTCCACCACCATCACCCAGGCCATAGGGGTCCCCGATCCCTTGCCTGCTCTGACGTCTTCGGACGTCGTTGCAGCACCTGCGCCTCGTCGAGCTCGTTCCAGGGGTGCCCGGACTGCTCCGAACGGCCGCCGGAGGCCAGAGCCATGGCTCGAAAACGAACCGCCACCACCACTACCACTACCGATGCCTGGGTCCCGAGTCCCTCGTGACGTTTTCGTGACTTTTATGTCCGTGGTGGTTTTCATGGGCTGCGCCTAGTCGAGAGCGTTCCGGGAGTGCCTCGGATCGTCCCGAACGGCCGCCGGGGAGCCGGGCCAAATGGGGCGTTCCATACAGGGCCTTGCCTTCGAGGATCGAAGGAGTTGTCATCTCTTCCGCGGAAGGCGGCGGAAGGGCGGCGGAAGGTCGGGGGAACTAAAACGAGGCCGCCTCCACCGGCGGAAGCCGGCGGAAGGGCGGCGGGACTTCAAAGAGGGCAAGGGGGTGAAGGGCAAGGGCAGGGCCAAGCGTCAGAAGAAGTGAGGGCCTCGAGAAGGCCCAGTAGCTCCCAGACGGTGATAACAACATTTTTACTCTCTCATCTCGAGGGGGTGGCACGTAATTTTTTCCGCGGGGTTCGCTGGCTCGTTTTGTGGCCGTCGGCCCCCCTGGGCCTGGAGGGGCTCGGGGGGTCCTCCTCGCAGTGCCACCCCCTCAGAGGATGGGGTGCGCGAGGCGGGAGCCGAGGCGCTACAGGGCTCTCCTGGTCCTTCCTCTCGGTCTCGTCTCGTCTCGTGCATTTCAAGGGCTCCGATCGAACAGTTCGATCGCGCCGATGCCCGATCTGTTTCGGCACGGTAGGTAGTGTTACTAGCCCAGCACGAGGCCTCCAGAGCTGTGGACGAGAGGGGGCAGTGGTTTGTGTGTGGAAGGGCGGCGGAAGGTGGCGGAAGTAAGCAATGCGCCCCCGAGAGATGAAAAACGTTTTTGGGTTCAGGGTTTCCGAAATCCGCCGAGTGATCCGAACCCGAGGGGCAACGTTAGGAAGGATGGGCTCGAGGGGGGTGGTTGCACCAGGTCGCCCATAGATCGCCGACTGGGGCCCGACCGCCCGCCCCGCCCCTGGGAAGTTTCGCATTTGCTGTACGTCGGGCGTGTCCCTCTACATGAGGAGCGTTCAAAAACAGTAAAACAATATTCCGGGAACGATTTTCGTTGAGCAGTCTTTGTTTTTTTTGTTGTTTCGTTGAAACTCTGCCTGTCGGGGGACGTGCCCGACCTAACACTCGCTGTATCGGGGGGGCCTACCGCCGATCTGCAGTGGAGACCCATGCCAAGAGACACTGCTTGCCTCCAGGGTGCCCCAGGTTTCTTGGGCTTCGGTGCTTTTGCCACGTGGAGAGCGTGGCGTTCCCACGCCAAGAAACGATGGACGTCCTGGGGTCTCAGGGTCGGGCGTCTTGTGGAAGGTCTCTTGTGGACTGGCCCCCACTGTCGCCGATTCCGGGTCGATGCTCTCCCCCCTGAGCCAGGTTCCCCGCAGCGTTCGCCCTCGTCCCTGGCATCCTCTCGCGCCGCGACGCAGATTCTCGCGGGAGGTGTTGGGGCGTGCGCGGCCTCCAGGGGCCCCCCCTCTGGGCCCGGGGGCACCGAGAAAAAGGGGTCGGGGCTGGCGGGGACCGCGCGCCGAAGGGAGCGATGCAGCGGATCGGCTGGAAGGAGGCGTTCTGGCAGGGGCCGCTCCTTCGCTGCATGCTCCCGCCCTCGGCAGTGGAAGCCGGCGTGGCGCCGGCGGGAGCGAGAGGCAGCGGCGGGCCCACCGGCGGCAGCTCGGCGGAGGGCGGCGGAAGTACGAGTGCAATGTTAACGCTGCTGGGTTCGAGGTGTCCGGGGTCGGTCGAACGTGGGCCCCACGGGGCCATCGCCACCACACGTTCTCGGTCCTCCTCCTCCTCCTCCTCCTCCTCCTCCTCCTCATCGTCCTTCTCCTTCATCCAACCCTCCTCCTCCTCCTCCTCCTCCTCCTCCTCCTCCTCCTCATCCTCTCCTCCTCCTCCTACTTCTCCTCCTCCTCCTCCTCCTCCTCCTCCTCCTCCTCCTCCTCCTCCTCCTCCTCCTCCTCCTCGGTGCGGATGGGCAGGGCGTGTCCTCGGGCGGGGTAGCTGCGCAGAGGTGCGCCCACCCCCTCGCTCTGACAGCGCGGGCCGCCCCCCGCGTCGCCTCCCTGGCTCGGCGTCCCTCAAGCAGTGGCGAAGCGTCCTGGCGCGCCTATAGCCCTACCCAAAAATGTTCTAAGAACCTTTTTGTGATTTCCACGACATGTTCTTAGAACATGTCAGGCGGGGTCTGCTTGTTTTAGCACATCGGGCTTATGTTTTAAGAACATTGTTTTGGGTTCTAAGAGCATTTCGTGGTAGGACTATAGGAATGCCGGGACGTTCGGTCCCTGCTCCATTCCCTGTGTCTGCGCCTGCCCATGTATAATACGCTTGTTTTTGTGGATGCAGCCTGCAGTTGCTGCACCAGGGGAGCAGCATAACAGCATCACCATGTATGTTCGCATGTGCATCTACACATGGATGTGTGTACACAGTTTTGCACATCTATATAGTCACATCGCACCCTCACCGGGCTCCGAGCCTTTCAGAAGGGAGGTGCCGGGAGATCTGGCGGCGCGGTTTGACCGGAGCAGCCTCCTGGCTGTTCCCCGCTGTTTTCTTTGGGTCGAGGCTCCCGGGCCGAGGTCTTGTTCGGGGGGGAGGGAGGGAGGGGGAAAGGGGGGGAGGGGGGGGGGGGGGCGGGGGAGGGGGGCAAGGGGGGGCCCGGATCCTACATCGAGGGTCGAAGATCCCGGATGGAGGGGCGAAGATCCCGGGTCCCGAAGATCAGGGGCTCCACTGAGCGAGTCGAGCTCTTCGCCAGCCCACGTCTCCCCCTCGTGTTCCTTCTCCCCCTCTTCTCGTCCTCCTCGACGCCTCCGCCGCAGCTGCACAAATTATGGCTGAGTGCCACTCTCCTCCAGTCGTCGGCTCGTCATCAGCATTCGTCATTGCCTGCTCTGCTCCCCCTGCTTCTGCATGCCTGGGCGGCGTCGTCTGGCGACCCCCTCGGTGGTGAACCCCTCTGGGACTGCTGGGCGGCCCCCGACCCCAAAGGCCGTGCAGGAGTCGCCCGCGGTGCAGGCCGTGCAGGAGAAGGCCACCCGAGTGTGCTGCGTCTGCCAGCAGCGGGCCCTGCTCACGAACGTCGCCACCTGCGAGGATCAGGGGCAGCAGAAAAACTTTACCATGGTACCCAAGATCGAGGAGCGAGGAGGATCGATGACATTGGCGCGAGGATCGAGAATCGAGGAGTGAGGACAACAGGGTCCAGGTGTGAAAACGCGCTGGATATCCCTCCCCACACCCTTGGCGGCGCCTCGGGCGCCGCCCCCCAGTGCGCTCCGCGCGCAGGGGCATGGGGTGTGGGGTCCAGCGCCGACCCGAGAGATCCGCGCGGATCTCCCAAGTCTCGCAGAGGAGTGCAAGAGGCCAGTCTGCAAAACTGGCAAGGGCTGCATCGCGTACGTCCACGTGTTCACTCCGGGCGGTCTGTCCACCATGTCGAACCCGGGCGTGCAGCTGCAGCCGTGCCAGAACTGCTTCCGCGCGGTGCAGGACAGGGCGCGGATCTCGAACGTGAAGGAGAGGCAGAAGCGGGCGGCCTCCTACTTCGCTGGCACCCTCGAGCCCTACATGTACAGCCCCGAGAGCAAGCTCGAGAAATCCTTCCGCCTGGGGGGCCACGTCATGGAGACCGCCAAGTGGGTTGCCGACATCCTGCCTCTCGGCGACCCAGGGGGAAAACTGAAAAAGCATCTGCGAAGGAGGAGGAGGAGGAGGAGGAGGAGGAAGGGGAGGATGATGATGATGATGATGATGATGATGATGATGATGATGATGATGATGATGATGATGATGATGATGATGATGATGATGATGATGATGATGATGATGATGATGATGAGGATGAGGAGGAGGAGAAGGAGAGAGGAGGAGGAGGAGGAGGAGGAGGAGGAGGAGGAGGAGGGGGAGGAGGGGTGGAGGAGGGGGAGGGGGAGGAGGCAAGCTAGGTGCGCTCGCGTCATATCTGACATCCTACCCCTCCCACCCATCCCTTACCATGGCGTAGAGCCCCTCTCTACTCGCACAGTCGGATGTCGAGCCGGGCTATGATCCCGAAAGGGTACGCGATGCATTGTAGTGTACGGCATGGCATGGCGTAGAAGAGCACCGCAAAGCGTAGTATCAACCTAGCATTGCATTGCATGCCGTGGCATGGCACGGGAAATGACGCCAGCGCTGCAGCGGGAGCACGAGTCGGAACAAGCGGAAGCGCGGAAATGAGGCCAGCCCTGCAGCGGGAGCACGATTCGGAACGAGCGGAAGCACGGAAATGAAGCCAGCGCTGCAGCGGGAGCACGATTCGGAACGAGCGGGGCCCGAAAAGGAGGCCGGCGCCTCAGCGAGAGCAGCATTTTGGAAACAAATGCAGGCGAAAACCCAACTCCGGGGAATCCTGTGTGTGAAAAACAGTACGCGGGGGGGGCTAATACTTTCAAACCGTCATCGGGGGAAGAGGGAGAGTAGTATTCATATCGAGTAATTGTACAGGGAGGAGGAGGGGGAGGAGGAGGGGTCGGAGGAAGGGGGTAGGGGGAGGGGATGGATTGACGGATGGATGGATGTATGAGCCCCCAGGTGGACAGGCATGGTGAGGCCTCGTGCAGGCCTCGCCAGGTGGATTGCCGACATCCTGCCTCTCGGCGGCCCGAGAGGAAAACTGCAGAAGCATCTGCGGAGGAGGAGGGGGAGGAGGAGGAGGAGGAGGCGGAAGAGGAGGAGGAGGAGGAGGAGGAAGAGGAGGTCTACGGGAAGTTCTTGGATGTGCTCAGGGCTCCCCCTTGTCAGCGCCTCCGGCGCCGCCCATGGGCGCGCTCCGTACTCGAAGGACAGGGGCGCATCGCCGCTCCGAGAAGTCCGCGCGGACCTCCGAAAGAATACGTTTATTCGGCAGCAACTCATGGGAGTTCGATTAGCGCCTGGGAGCCGATGACGTAGCTCCGATCTAGCGCCAGCCAGCGTCGATCAGCGTCGATCAGCGTCGACGAGCGTCGACCAGCGTCGATCAGGCGTCGATTCGCGAGAGCCGACAAGATGGTGTGGGAGGCTCCCGGGAGTTGCCGCCGAACGCTTGCGGTATGTTCGAGTCGTGTTGTGTCGCCGCGGCCGCCTTCCCAGCGCGGGCGTTCCAGGTTCGAACGCCGCTGCTGGCCGAGGAACGGCCGATCCATCGAGGGATCTGCGCTGTCGGCAGGCCGCGATCGCTCAAGGCTCCGCGCTGGGCGCGCGCTGCCGGGGCAGCCGACGCGCAGAGCCGTCACGACGCGAACTCTCCGTGGCCCGCTCGGCGGCGAGCGAGGGGCGGAAATGAGAAGGAGAAGGGCTTCTCAGAAGGCGGCGGGACTTCTCCGAAGCCCTCGCGCCTTCCGAGAGTTTTTGTTTTGTCTTCGGGGAGGGCTCAGAGAACACCTCAGAAGGCCAGGGGACTTTCGAACCTTCTGAGAGGGCCTTCTCTTCCTCACTTCCCCCCCGCGTTCTTGCCGCCAAGCAGGCCCTGGACGCCATGATTGTCTCACAGCGCGGGCCCCTGGGAGGTCTCGACCGATTCACCCAGACCGACCGGCCTCTGAGCCCGAGGTCGTTTCTGTGCACGGTGCCGGGGCCCGGCGAGGGCCCCCCAGGGGCCGAAGGTAACGACAACCTCCCGTCGTGATTTGTTCATGACGTGAGGGGGTATGGGGGATTGGACTGCATCAGATCGCATCGGGCCGATCGAATGGGGAACCGGATCGAATCTAGCATCAGATCGACTCGAACTGGCTGGATGCTGGACGGTCCCTGGGCCGGGCGAGAGCCGCCGGCAGCCGAAAACGGCGCAGCATTTCCGTGCTGTTATTTGTTGTTCGTTCGCAGTGCGTTTGTGGTCTGGGCCTTCTTGTTGCTCCAGGCAAGGCTGTCCACGCCGTGTCCGCCGGGTACTACATCTCGAGTAACAAAAACTGACTCAATCATACGCTGTCGAAGGTCCGCGCAGATTTCTCGGATCGGCTTGGGCTCCAGCGCCGATCCGAGAAACTGCGCGGGCCTCCGAAAGTCTACAGTGGGGACGCGCGTGAATAAACCGGATGCGCTTCGTGACGGTACCCTGGGTCTCTTCGCTCCGCGCGCTGCGCGGAGAGTCCCCGCGCCCTTCAAAGAAGCTGCTGCGTTCGGGGTGCTCCGGCTTTCCCCGTAAAATCGCACCTCGCGCGCGGATGTTCAGGGCTGGGTTTTTTGCGAGGGTTCCTTGCGGCCGTGTCCGCACTGTAGTTCTGTTTATGTCAGTGTCTTGTTCCTCGATACATCATCCGATACGGGCCGCTGGTGCTGTGCGGCAACGACGTCATCGACGCGCTGCAGCTGCTGGTGGGGCTGGCGGGGAAGCTGGACAGCGCCACCGTCATCAGGGCGAAGGCGAAGCCCGACGAGCTGTTCGGGGGTTTCTACTACATTCGGAGAAGACACAGCGGCATAAGCTCCACCAGTATACACAGACACCCTCCAACATATTGTTCCTGGGCCTCGGGGAAGGGTGGCGGTGCGTAAATCACTTCTGGGAACCAGCGACCTTACCTCACTGCCGCCCTCCTGGGAGGTAGATGCAAACTTCGTCGAAGGGTGCGTGTATGTCTACATGTGTATGCATGTATGTCTGTCTGTCTGTCTGTCTGTCTGTCTGTCTGTCTGTCTGTCTGTCTGTATGTATGTATGTATGTATGTATGTATGTGTGTGTGTATGTATGTATGTATGTATGTATGTATGTATGTATGTATGTTCGTATGTATGTGTGTATGTATGAGTGAATGCACGAAACCATGGATTGCTGTATGCATGTATGGACGTATGTAAATATCCCGGCACACACACATATATATATATAGATACACGTGCTGTTTCGTATGAGCATGCATCAAAGGAGGATAAAGAGGCCAGTGCTGCTCCTCGCCCGTCGTCGCCACGGCCGGATCCGCTTCGAAATAGCTTGGTCAGAACCAGCCCCGGGAGAGGTCTGTGTATCCACGAGCGGTATTTGCTTTCCTTGCTGCCCCCCCAGTGATCCGGCAAGGACGAACTTTCGGAGGCCCGGGCGGACTTCTTGGATCGGCGCTCCTCCGGCGCCACCCCTGGCGCGCCGCGCCCGCCATGAGGGAGGGGGGTCCAGCGCCGATCCAAGGACTCAGTGGGCACATCAAAGGAGAAATCGGCCTGCGAGCAGGTGCCCCCGGAAGTTTCTTTTCTCCCCCGACGGCCCCAAGGATGCATAGAAGCTTTGGGACCCCGTCGGACTTCTCGAAGATGGACGAATCATGCGCCCCAGTATTTCCCAAATCAGTGCTTTCAATTCGGGGATTCTGCTTCTCTTCGCAGGCCTTGGGCCTGTCTGTCGCTCTGGCAGCTATGAGGCCGCCTTCGCCGCCCAGTCGCCGCCTCGTCGCCACCCGTCGTCTGGGCCTGTCTGCCGGTCTGGCGGCTATGTGGCCGCCGTTGCCTCCCCGTCGCCGCCTCGTCGCCGCCCGTCGTATGGGCCTGTCTGCTAGTCTGGCAGCTATGTTGCCGCCGTCGCCGCCCCGTCGCCTCCGCGTCGCCGCCCTAGTTGCACAATGTAGAATCTCATGTCTAAAAGAAGAATAGAATTTCCCCCCCCCCCCCCCGAGAGTTAACGGGACGCCTTTTCGTATTGCAATTTACATATGGTTCTTCCCAATCGTTGATTTTAAGTATGAATTCATACTATCCCTCCCATCCAAACCGGTATCACTCCCCCTCGCCATCCTCTGCAACAAGTACTATGCGCGCAGTCTCGTTTATTAAACATCCGAAGTTTTCAAGACTCCCTTGCAACAAATTGGGCGAAGTGCTCACGCGCGCGCCGTCGCACGCGCATGCCGAAATCCTTCAAACAACTGTTTTGATTTTGGAAGGATTTCAAATCGAGTGAACACAGGGCTTCGCAACATTGATTTGCTAAGAGAACTTACGCGCGCGCTCTTGCGAAATCTCAAGAAAACCTCAGGTTAATCAAGATGTTCAAGAAATACTACCAGACGGGATTCGCGTGCACGCATGTCGACATCTTTCGAACGCCCTTGCGCGCGTGCCGTCGCACGAATCCTTTGCAACACATGGGACGAAGTGCGCACGCGCGCGTCGTCGCGCGCGCATGCCGAAATCCTTCAACAACCTTTTTGGTTTCGGAAGGATTTCAAAATCGAGTGTCCAAAAACATACAAAAACACAGGGTTTCGCAACACGGATTTTCAACAAAAGCGTGCGCACGCGCTCTTGCGTCGTCGTCGTCGTCGTCGCCGTCCTCCCTCCCCCCTCGTCGTCGGCCTCGTCGTCGTCGTCGTCGTCATCTTGGCGTCGTCGTCGTTTCCGTCGTCGTTGTCGCCGTGGTCGTCCTTCCTCCCTCGTCGTCTCCGTCGGTGTTTCGTCGTTGTCCCTCCTATTTCGTCGCCGTCGTTGTCGTCGTCGTCGTCTTCTCTCCTCCCTCGTCGTTGTCGTCGTCGGCGTCGTCGTCCTCCCTCATTCTTCGTCGTTCGCGTCGTCGCCGTCCTCCCTTCTCCCTCGTCGTTGTCGTCGTTGCCGCCGTCGTCGTCCTCCCTCCTCCCTCGTCGTCGTCTTCGTTGGCGACACCGTCGTCGTCGTCGTCTTCGTCGTCGTCGTCGTCGGCGTCGCCGTCGTCGTCGGCGTCGTCGTCGTCGTCGTCGCCGTCGTCGTTGTCGTCGGCGTCGGCGTCGTCGTCGTCGTCGTCGTCGTCGTCGGTGTCATCGTCGTCGTCGTCGTTGTCGGCGTCGTCGAAGTCGTTGGAGACGTCGTCGGTGTCGTCGTAGTCGTTGTCGGCGTCGTCGTCGTCGTCGTTGTCGCTGTCGTCGTCGGCGTCGGTGTCGTTGCCAAGTGCCATTTGGTACCCACCGTCACGGTCTTAAGAGGTTTTGCAAACCAAATTGCGTTTTGGTGGGTGAGATGTTTGCGCGAGCAGTGGAGTGGACAACTCACTGCGAACAGACGGTAATTCTCCTTTTCCAAAAGAGAATAGACTCTACCCCCCCGGCGTTATCCCCCCCCTCTTCGGGAATGTAAATCATATATTATTCTGACCATATGTCCATCCTAAATATGAATTTACACTATCCCAGGGGGGGCCGGTATCGGCGGACGAAGTGCACACGCGCGCGTCGTCGCGCGCGCATGCCGAAATCCTTTTGAAACCTTCGGTGTCGGAAGGGTTTCGCCATCGAGTTCCCAAAAAACATACAAAAACACAGGGTTTCGCAACGCTGATTTGCTACAAAAACCTTGCGCGCGAGCTCTTGCGAAATCTGAAGAAAACCATGGGTTTTTCAAGACTTTCGCAAACTGCTACCAAACGGGCTTCGCGCGCGCATGTCGACATCTGTCGAACGCCCTTGCGCGTGCGCCGTCGCGAGAATCCTCTGCAAACAAATGGGACGAAGTGCAGACGCGCGCGTCGTCGCGCGTATGCCGAGATCCTTCGGCTTCGGAAGGATTTCAACATCGTGTGTCCAAGCAACGTACAAACAACACAAGGTTTTCGCAACACGGATTTTCAACAAAGCGTGCGCGCGCGCTCTTGCGTCGTCGTCGTCGTCGTCGTGTCCTCCCTCCTCCCGCGTCGTCGTCGTCGTCGTCGTCGCCTACGTCGTCCTCTGTCTTTCCTCGTGTTCGTCGTCGTCGTCCTCTTTGGCGTCGTGGTCGTTTCCGTCGTCGTTGTCGCCGTGGTCGTCCTTCCTCCTCCTCACTCGTCGTCGTCGTCGTCCGTCGTCGGCGTCTCGTCGTCGTCCCTCCTATTTCGTTGTTCGAGTCGTCGCTCGCATCGTCGCCGTCCTCCCTCCTCCCTCGTCGTTGTCGTCGTTGTCGTCGTTGTCGCCGTCGTCGTCGTCCTCCCTCCTCCCTCGTCGTCGTCTACGTTGGCGACGTCGTCGTCGTCTTCGTCGTCGTCGTCGGCGTCGGCGTCGTCGTCGTCTTCGTCGTCGTCGACGTCGGCGTCGTCGTCGTCGCCGCCGTCGTCGTCGTCGTCGTTGTCGGCGTCGTTGACGTCGTCGTCGTTGTCGGTGTCGTCGTAGTCGTCGTCGTCGGCGTCGTCATCGTCGTCGTCGTTGTCATCTTCGTCGTCGTCGGCGTCGGCGTCGTCGTCGTTGTCGGTGTCGTCGTTGTCGTCGTCGTCGTCGTTGTCGGCGTCGTCGTCGTCGTTGGAGACGTCGTCGGTGTCGTCGTAGTCGTTGTCGGCGGCGTCGTCGTCGTCTTTGTCCCTTTCGTCGTCGGCGTCGCTGTTGTTGCGAAGTGCCATTTGGTACCCACCGTCACGGTCTGAAGAGGTTTTGCAAACCAAGTTGCGGGTGGGTGGGTGGGATGTTTGCGCGAGCAGTGGAGTGGACAACTCATTGCGAACACCGCGTAGACTGCACCACAAAGACTTGCACTGCATATATTATATATTATACTACACAGAGTGCACCGCATAGCTTGCACAACATAGAATGCACCGCATACATTGCACCACATTGATTGCACAACTTAGATTGTACCACATATATTGTACAACATATTTTGTACCACATATAACGCAGCACATATTTTGCACCACTTCGAGCACCCAACAGATATTGCACCACATAGAGTGCAGCACATAGACTGCACCGCATAGCCTGAACAACATCGATTGAATCGCGCATGTTGCACCACATAGAGCGCACAATATTTTTTGCACCACATAGGGTTCCACAACATGTGCTGCACCAAATAGCTCGCACCACATAGATTGCACAGCGCAGATTGCTAGAGATACACTGTTTGGGGTCCATGCTGGCTAACACACTCTTCATTCGAGTAAGATTTCTTGTCGTATGTGCCAGGGGACTTGATCCCCTGGCGATAGCGGGCGTGACCAGGCGGGGGCGAGGGGGAGGGGGGAGGAGGCCAGTCACGTCACGATCCGCGCCGCGGCCGTGTGGGAACGCCTTGAGGATGGCTCATTCCCGGGCGGCGCCAGCGCAGATCGTGACGTGACCAGTTGGGGGTGGAGGGGGGGCTGGTCACGGGCGCAGTCGCGACGAGTGAAACCAACGGCCCCTAGTGATCGTGTTCCTATTCCTTGTTTTGCCGATCCCCCCCTCCCCCCCCCCTTCCTCCCAATGTCGAGACGCCGAATAACCAAAGAATTCGCGTAGGGGCCCGATGGAGCCCCAGCCTGCCCCGGAAGGTGCGGACTCACTACCAGACTACCAGAGGCCCATCGCCGATCGATCGGCGATGTGCCGAAGCGCCGAGCAAGAAGACATGCACCTGCTGCGTGGGGGCTGTGCCGCCCTCTCTTCCTCGGCGCGTGATGGGCGAGCACGTGGGCGAGCGCGGCAAGGCCCCGGAGCTGGAGCGGCTGCAGCACGTCGGCCCCTCGGGGGACGTGCCTGCTCCCGACCGCGAGCTGCTGCTGAGGCTGCGGCGCCTGGCGCGGCTGCCCAGCGCGGGGTACTCCAGCGAGCCGACGCCGACGGACTCCCCCTGGGGTGGCGAGGGCGAGAAGGATCACGACGTGGATGCGGGGGAGGAGGAGGACTGTCAGGAGGAGGAGGAGGAGGAGGAGGAGGAGGAGGAGCAGGAGGAGGAGGAGGAGGAGGAGGAGGACGCCGACGACGACGACAAGGTCAACGACGACGCCGAGGGCGCAGGCGCATCAGGAGCCAGAGGACGCGTGCACACTTTTAGGAGCCACCTTGGCTCCAAGACGCTACTTGGGAATATTGGGCTCTGGCTATGATTGTATCCTCTGGCGCCTAACTGTCTTTACCTTGGTCAATCCCTCGATCCCACACGTAACAGTAACCATCGTACGTGGCGGGGGGGGGGCGCGACCCTCCCTCTATAAGCTGGTGCCCGAGAGCATGCTATGGCGACCGCAGTGCGCCCCCGCCTCGACGTGCCCAATCCTGCCCAAGCGTTAACGTTCGGGGTGTTTTTTGTTTTTACTCCGGGGCGATAACGGGCGTCATCAGGGGGGGGGGGGGAGGGAGCCAGTGACGTCACGCTTCGCGTTGGCGGCGTCTGGGGATGCTTAGGAGTGACCGAGGACGGGTAGGAGCAGCATGCAGGTGGCGATCTGCACCACAGCGCCTGTGTAAACCTCAGTGCCCGCGTGCACCACACCGCCTGTGTACACCACGGCGAATGTGTAAACTGCAGCAGCGGCCTGCAATACAGCGCTTGTGTACACCGCAATGTCTGCGTGCACCAGAGCGCCTATGTACACTACAGCAGCCGCGTGCAACACAGCGCCAGTGTGCACCACAGTGCCTGCGTGCACCACAGCGCTTGTGTACACCACAGTGCCTGCTTATACCACAGCTGCCGTGCGCAACACAGCACCAGTGTACACCGCAGTGCCTACGTACACCACGTCGCCCGTGTACACCACGGCGCCTTTTTGCACCACAGCAGTCGTGTGCAGGAGAACACCATTGTTGTATCTATCACATAAGATGGAGTCCTTCTGGCCAAAAACAGCGTCTGTGGATCTGTGGACTCCACAGAAACATTAGTTTCACATTGAAGGACTCCTTATGGAAAAAGGAGCGCCTTTGGAATCTACAGTCAAACTGCATGGTAAGGATGGACAACCTTCCCAAAGGTACCCTTGCATCCTTGCCTCCTTGGCCCATCCTTGGCCATTTTCGTTGGCCGCGCCACGCTCTAAAAACTTCGACGTGGCCTTCCAAGGCACTTGCATCCAGATCGCGCATTCTTACTATACGGGTTGACTGTATGAGTCCTCCCGAGCCCTCCCGCATCATCCTAACACCTCCCATCTGCGTCCAGAAGGCTTCCGCAGACTTGGCCGTCCGAGAACCGAGTGGACTGATTCAATATATAAACCATTCTGCCGTGCACGCTGGGATGCGCACGTGCGCTGCAGCGCCGACCCGCACCTCGGCGGGAAGGGCATTCTACTATCAGTACTCCCTTGCGTGGTGTTTAGCTGCCCGCAGCAGGTTTTCATCTACATGCTCTTCCTACTTCTCCTGTGCACGCAGAAGCTGTGGTGTACACCAGCGCTGTGTTGCACACGGATGTCGTGGTGTGTACAGGCGCTTTGGTGCACGCAAGCATTGCGGTGTACACAGGCGCTATATTGCAGGCGGCTGCTGCAGTGTACACATTCGCCGTAATGTACACAGGCGCTGTCGTTCACGCAAGCTTTGAGGTGTACACAAGCGCTGCGTTGTACGCGGCTGTTGCGGTGTACACAGGCGCTGTGGTGTGCACGCGTGCTGTGGTGCACGTGAGCACTGTGGTGATCACAAGCGCTGTGGCGCAGATCGCCACGTACATGCTGCTCCTACTTGGTTTCGATCATCCCTATGCATTCCCAGACGCTGCCGGTGCGGAACGTGACGTCACTTCTGGGGGGGTGCGCGGCGCCAGTGACGGCGGTTATCGCGGAACATCAACAAAGGTTTCTTTGGAATTGACAAACAAGCAATTTCAAACATACGCTGCCCTTGCCTCGTTTTCGCCTTGTGAGCCTCCTGGGAGGCCTTCGTTGCCACGTCCAGATTCGCTTCGAATTTTCACTCAGAGCGCACCCTGGGACAGGTCCGTGGAGTAGCGCTATCGGTCTGTCTCAGTTCCCCCAGGACGCCCAGCGGTTCTTCAAGCAGGCGCTGCCCGGCAGCGAGCTGGTGCTCGCCGAGCTGCTGCACTCGCAGGACGTGCCGTCGTATTTCCTGGTGGCGACGCGGCGGGACATGAGCAAGCTGCAAAAACATCCAAAAATCGGAGGCCCGCGTGGATTTCGTGGATCTGCTCTGGATCCCCTGGGTGAGGGGTGCAGTGGCGGTCCACGAAAGCTGCGCGGGCCTCCGAGAGTTTTCTTCTTCTAGGACAAGCAGGTGTACCTCGTCCTGCCCGGCACCCGCAACACCGCGCACATCGCCACCGACCTCAACGTGTGCGGCGAGGAGATCGAGGGCAAGGGCGTGGCCCACAAGGGCGTGGCCCAGATGGCACGGTGGCTGATGGCGGAGCTGAGCCCGGTCATGGTGAACTTCCACGCGAAAGGCTACCAGGTGATCGGGGGCGGCCTAGAGGGGGGCGATGACTAGGGGGGGTGGACATCATGGCGTGGGCCATGATATATTTCCTCCGATTTCATGGCGCCTCTTCTTATTGAATCGCTTCGCTCACTCCGCCGGCCCATTTTTGCGCACCGCTGTGTCGGCTGGCCGAGTGGTCGTTGGCAGTGCGGAGCTGCAGGGTCGGCATGTGTGTCTGTGAGACACTGCTTCCGGCATGTTTTTGGGGTTGAAGCAGCTCCCGCGGAGCGTCCCCGTGGCGGTCGCTTGGACATGGCGCCCCCTCCTATGTCGTTGCGTCCCTGGCCCCCCTCGGGCTGCGCACGTGCCGCCGGCCATGATTTGCTCCTCCTCCTCCTCCTCCCTCCTCCTCCTCCTCCTCCTCCTCCTCCTCCTCCTCCTCCTCCTACTCCTCCTCCTCCTCCTCCTCCTCCCGGCGCTACCTTAAGCGGAGGGCACACTGTCAGGGTTCTGGCCCAAGTCGGCGGAGACAAGAAGGCGGCCGTTGCTTTCCGTGGTGAAGGGTTCGACTCCCTCTCATCACGTTTTTTTTCATGTCAGGTGTGGCACTTGTTTGCCCTCCTGGGTCTGCGTAGCCGGCCCGCAGGATCAGGGTCGGCGCAGCGGGGTCCGCGGTATCAGGACCTGTGTCGCTCCAGAGGCGAGGATTGGAGCATCCGGAAGCTCAAAAGTCGCCTCCTCGCAGCACCACCGGAGCGGCACACCGCCTCAAGGAAGGCGGCCGCGAGTGGGCCAGGCGTCTTGCCCTTGTCCCGTTCCGTCGCACTTATTCGCCTAAGTGCTCCCTTCGGGGATGCGACGTTCGTTGTCGCTCATGCACAGCTCCCACAGCTCCTCCTCCTCCTCCTCCTCCATCTCATCCTCCTCCTCCTCCTTCTCCTCCTCCGTCTCCTCCTCCTCCTCCTCCTCCTCCTCCTCCTCCTCCTCCTCCTCCATCTCCTCCTCCTCCTCTTCCTCCTCCTCCTCCTCCTCCTCCTCCCCCTCCTCCTCCCCCACCTCCTCCTCCTGGACGTCCCCCTCGTGGCCGCCCCCGAGGTGACCGTCGTCGGGCACTCCCTGGGCGCCGGCGTGGGCGCGGTCTTCACGGCGCTGCTGCAGCCGATGATCAGGCCGCCCGTGCCGGCAGCAGGAAGCCCAGGCCTCCGACGTCCCCCCCCCCCGGAGGTTTGGCGCTGAGTCAGTCGGGCGTGTCCCTCTACTGGAGGACCCTCGACTAGACGTAAGAGTGACCTTTCGCCGGAGTGACCTCGAGCCGCCCGTGCCGGCAGCAGGAAGCCCAGGCCCCCGACGTCATGCCCCCGGATGTTTGGAGCTGAGTCGGGCGTGTCCCTCTACCGGAGGACTCTCGACTAGACATAAGAGAAACCTTGCGCCGGAGGGACCCTTGGTGCGGGCACAGATGGGCCTCCAGATGGCTGAAAACGAGGCAGGAGCAGCGGCTTGCGCGCCCAGGTTTGGTCCCCCCGCGGCCCCCAAAAAGTCGCGCACCAAAGCTCACTCTTACCCAGGGTCACTCCTGCGTGTATCCGGTCAGTCAAGAGTAGTAGTCCGGGGACGATTGTTTGCGTTTTCGTGATACTTGTGGTTTGGCCATCTCGTGACCGCTTGATGATTGTTCTTCGGGAAGCCGCCTGGAGGAGGACATGCCCGAGCGAAGTGTGGGCCTATTCCCCAGGACCTGCTTTTCATCCCTCGCCGATTTTGGACGGTCCCGGTGCCCGGCGAGGCCTCCCCCGCGCTGAAATAGCCCAAAGCCGCCCGTCGTGCTTTGTTTCACGACGCGAGGGGGTTTGGGAACAAATGACAAGCAATCCTCACAGCATGAAAAAAACGGTCAGGTCGATGTACTGCTACGGCTTCGGGACCCCCGCCTGCGTCGACGAGCGGCTCTCCTTCGCCCTCCTGGACTGCATGACGAGCGTAGTGAACCACGACGACATGGTGCCGCGCCTCACTCTGCAGAGCGTGCAGAGGCTCGTGGACTTTACCCTCAGCGAGGGGCAGCGGGCGAAGACCAAGGCACCTCCTCCCGCGACCCGATTCGATCCGCTTTCCCCGGCACCCTCGGGTCATGAAACAAACCACGATGGGAGTGTTGTCGCTGTTTCCGGCCCCCTGGGGCCCTTGCTGGGCCCTGGGATCGTCAGAAAATATACTCGAGGTGAACAGCCTGGTGGAGGGGAATGGGTCGAGATCTCTGGGGGTCCGTGCTGTGAAAACGTATGACGTCGGGGGTTTGCGACCCGGCCCGATTCTGTCTCCTGACTTCGATTCCGACCTCGCTCCGATCTGGCACGGACCCACCTGGCATCGGTCCCCGCCAGCCCGATCCGACCCGGTGCGGCCCGACGCTCGCTCGGCGCTTCTGTGCATCCCAGATCGCGGCGGATCCGGTTCTTGCTCCGTGCCGATGCGGCCGATCCGGCACACAGTGGAGACCCATGCCCAGAAGCACCCTGCTTGCCTCCAGGCTGCCCTGGGTTTCTTGGGGTTCGATGGTGCTGCCAGGGAGAGCGCGACGTCCCAGACAAAAAGAACAAGGCACGTCCTGGGGTCCCAGCGTTGGGCTTCTTGTGGAAGGCCTCTTGTCGTCGAGCCCCTGCTGTCCGTTCCGTTTTGACCCGATGTTTCGATTTGTTCAGGGGAGGCTCGGTGGAGACGACATCAGCTCTCCCGTCCGCGCCCTGGTCTGGTCACGCTCGGTCCCTGGACCGGACCTCCCCTGAAGTCATCCTGACTGGTGCTCCGGGGCAGATGCAGCCGTCCTGGCGAGAAGCTTCCGGGTGGCCCAGAAAGGGTGGAACTTCCAAAAACACCAGTGATGGCCGCCGTCGTCTCGACTGGCCCTCTGAGCTCCGATGCTGACGGTTCCTGCCACTGCCCATGGGTGGATGCGAGCCGACTCTGGCGCGGACCATCCGATCCGATTCCTCGCCTCACGTGCCGATGCGGCCCGACGCACGTTTCGATCCTCCGAGGCGGCGTGGTCAGTTGGCGTTCGTTAAGGAACGTGCCCATGAGGCTTCAGACCCTGGAGGGTTCTTTATCTGATGAGGACGGCGGTGATATCCATGGCCGATCCACGATTGGAGTTCCGCCGGCCTCCAGACCCTGGATACCTAATCCAAGGGTTTCTTATCCAATGCCCCAACCGTAGTACTAGGACACAAACATTGAGATAAGCATGCAACTTCGGAGGTCCGCGCACATTTCTCGGATCTCCCTGGCGCGCGGAGCGCGCCAGGGGCGGCGCCAGAGGCGCCGCCAGGGGGCTCTAGCGCCGATCCGAGAAATCCGCGCGGACCTCCGAGCTTTTATGTTTATGTTCTGGTTCGTCCCCTTAAATACAACCCCGCCTCGCGGTTTCGATCCGAATTTGCGACCCGGTGCTGACGGACCCAGAGCCCCGACGTCTTGATTGGTTCAAAACGTGGACCCCCAGAGGTTTCGACCCACTCCCCAGCACCGGCTTTTCATCCCGAGCCGTTTGATCTGGTCTCGGGGCCTGGCGAGGGCCTCCGAAGGGCTCCAAAAATAACAGCAACATCTCTTGCCGTGATATCTGAACCCGACGCGATGGTCTCTGGGCTCTCAGATTTGACCTTGATTTGCGATCTGGTGCTGCTGAGTCCTCCGCCTCCTCCACCTCCTCCTCCTGCTGCTCTAGCTTTCTCTTCCTCCTCCACCATCCTCCCCTTCCTCCTCGTCCCCCTCACTCCTTTACCTTCCTCCTCCTCCTCCTGCTCCTCCGCCGCCAACCTCCTCCTCCTCCTCCTCCTCCTCCTCCGCCTCCTCCTCCCGCCTCCTCCGCCTCCTCCTCCCCCTCCTGCTCGTTCTCGTTCTCCTCTCCTCCTCCTCCTCCTCCCTCCTCCTCCTCCTCTCCTCCTCCTCCTCCTCCTCCTCCTCCTCCTCCTCCTCCCCCTGCTGGGCCCCGCCGAGGCCTGGATGGACGAGGACTGGCGGGCCGTGAAGGACGTCGAGCGCGTCGTCGAGCTGCGCCGCCGGGGCGCGCCCGCCCCCTCGGGCCTCGCCGGCCCCGGCTCCGACGCGGAGAAGATCGAGCGGCTGCGCGAGGCCTCGAGGAGGAGAGTCGATTAGACGTCAGAGTGGCCTTTCGCCGGAGAGACCTTTGGTGCGGGCACAGATGGGCCCCCAGATGGCTGAAAACGAAGCAGGAGCAGCGGCTTGCGCGCCCAGCTTTGGTCCCCCCGCGGCCCACAAGAAGCCTCGCACCTAAGGTCACTCTTGCCTGGGTCACTCTTGCGTGTAGCCGAGAGAAGCGGCATGCCCAGACCCCCTCGCGAGCCAGGAGAAAAATCATGACGGCAATTTTTATTGTTGATGTTTTCGGCCTCTGGAGGTTCTCGCTGGGCCTCGGGGCCGTCAAGAGAGGACTCGGGATGAAAAGCTGGTCCTGGGGCATAGGTCGTGAACAAATCATGACGTCGGGGGTCTTGGTACCCTGATCCTTGGATGCGGTAGGTTCATGTGGCGTTGTTGCGCGGGCGACGCCGGCGAAGGCGCTCAAGGTTTCATTCTGCGACGCGGACGCACCGAGGGACGCGGCAACGCCACTGGACCCGACGGAGTTCCACTTGGAACGATCGGGCCGCGATCGATTCAACGGTGAACGATCGGCGCGGTGCCAGAAACCTTTGCGTGCGCCGAGGCCTCGAGGAAGAGAAGCGGCATACCCTGATCATCGAAGAATAATAATATGCATCTACATAAATCGTTGGCGCTCCGCGCGGATTTCTTGGATCTGCGCTGCACTCACCGAAGAAAGCATCGGCATATACTTAAACTTGTGGCGCTCCGCGCGGATTTCTTGGATTGGTGCTCGGGGCCCCCTGGCGGCGCCTTCGGCGCCGCCCCTGGCGCGTTCCGCGCGCCACGGAGGGGGTCTGGCGCAGATCCAAGAAATCCAGGCGGATGGCCAACAGTTTATGTTTATGCCGCTTTTTCTTCTAGATCATTGGATCTCGGATTTCTTCCGCCGAGATTAGATCGGCTTTTACCGAGTCTGATTCAGATTCCATCATTGTCGGACCGAGGTGCAAGGTCGAGGTCGGTTCGGGGAGGGTGCCCTAGTCTGCTTCGTGCTTGTGAGAGCTTGTGCGCCCCGGGGGGTACCCTTGGATGCTCTGTGGGTGGGCCGGCGGAGGGTCTCGTGCTCTTGAGAAGGATTCGACTAGACGTAAGAGTGACCTTTCGCCGGAGTGACCTTTGGTGCGGGCCCACTGGGGCACCTAGATGGCCGAATGCGATGCGGTAGCAGCAGCTTGCCCGCCTGGCGGTGTCCCCAAAGGGCCCTTTTTTGGCCGCGCACTAAAAGTCACTCTTGCCTGCGTCACTCTTGCGTGTATCCGAAGGATGTTATTATGTCCTAGGTCCGACTGCAACCTGATCAGTGGACAGGGCTGGACCTAAACGCTGTTTTGCTGGACTTCGGCTTTTTGTTGTTATTGTTTGCCCAGTTTTGGGAAAGAGGTACAGTAAAACTGGTCTAGCGAAACGAACACCGAAACGAACATAAGATGAAAAACAACGTTGAGGTCCACCCTGATCATTGTATACAAGGTTTTTTCTCCCTTCGGTCGGGGAAAGCTCGCCAGGGAGGAAACGTGACCTGAGGGAAAGGGGTATTGAGGCTTTTCGCCGTTTTGCGGGCTCTCGGGGCCCGCCACGGGCCCTTGGGCTGACAGGGAACGGCTCCAGATGAAGACCTCGTCCTGGGGGAAGGCCCGTTTTTCACAGGACCCGTTCTCACAGGACCCGTTTTTCACAGGTCCTGATGGTTCAGGGCCCGTTTTTCACAGGACCCGCTTCCCCCATGCTGATAATCGGCAGACCCTGATCATTGGATACCAGGTTTTTTTCGGTAGCGACCGACGACGAGGTCGTCGCCACCGATTTTGCTTCACATTCCCGTGGCCGATCTTGAAATTGGTCGCGAACGGTCGTCACTGACATGGAGTGCTGATCGGTCGCTACCCCGCTACCGAGCGCGACCGAGCAACTCTGGTGTCCAATGATCTGGGTACCTCGGGTACCTCGCATCCTCGCGCCAGACGCTCGATTTTCTAGGTTGTCTGGCGTTTTTCGTTGGCTTCCAGAGGCCCTTCAGCTTCGGAGCGTGTTTTTGTTTTCCAGTAGTTGCGCCTCGCCGAGGGCGTCTTGCGGGGGTGCCGGAGTCGTCCCGAACGGCTGCGGGAGACCCGAGTTGGGTCTTTAGCATCTTCTTGGCGTCTGACGCTCTGGGCGCTTCATGGATGCACTTGTGCAGCGCGAGCGAGGTGTCATGGGGTGGGTGCGTGGAACAAGGTGCGCCGAGGCGCCCCAGCGATCTGGGAGGTGCCGTCGGGGCGCCCGCGGCGACCCCGAGTGGTCGCCAAGTGGCCACGCGGGGAGTCGAAAATCTGGCCGCCCAGCCATTCCCGCCCTACCTGTGTGCGTCCTGGCCCGATCTGGCTTGTTTATCCTTCGGGCAATGGTCGGCGAGGCAAGCGGTGCAGATGCCATCGGCGCATTCCGGTCCGATTGGACACTCGGCCCGTTGACTAGGACAAAACGTGGCTCAGTGGGAAGGAGGGAGTGGTCGGACGTCAGATGTGGCGCGAACGAGCTTCGCTTGTCCCCCGCTATCTCTCCTCCCGCCTCCCTCCGCGGATTCGGCGAGGGCGACAGCGCGGGGCAATTCCTCCCTCGCCTTTCACTTCCTCTCCTGCTGGGGGCCGCGGGTCCGGACGTCATGATACGCCTCAATTGTGGCCTCGGTTTCCTGCGTCGCCGGAGAAGGAGGAGGAGGCGGAGGAGGAGGAGGATGAGGAGGCGGAGGAGGAAGAAGAAGGGGGGGGAGGTGGAAGAGGACGGGGAAAGGGGAGCAGGAGAAGGAGGATGAGGGGGAGGAGGGAGGAGGAGGAGGAGGAGGAGGATGTTTTGGAGTAGGAGCAGCAACAGGAGAAAGGGAGGAGGAGGAGGAGGAGGAGGGGGAGGAGGAAAAGGAGGGAGGAAGAGGGAGGAGGAAGAGGAGGAGGAGGAGAAGGGAGAGGAGGAAGAGGACGATGATGAGGAGGAGGAGGAGGACGAGGGGGGGAGGAGGAAGGAGGAGGAGTAGTAGGAGGAGGAGGAGGGGGAGGAGGGGGGAGGAGGAGGAGGAGAGGAGGGAAAGGAAGAGGAGGAGGACGAAGAGGGGAGGAGGGGGGAGGAGGACGGGAGAAGGAGGA